ATATATATATATATACATATATATATATATATATATATATATATATAAACCATTTACCTTTTGAAGACAGTAAAAACAGTCAAATGATACATTTAATGAAAAGTACAAAGCTCCAAAACGTTTCTAAATGAAACAAAACATAATTGCTTTGCATTTATTTTAACAACAGCACATTCAATTGTGCACAAAATATCTGTATACTTTGACCCAGGTGAGATCCTAACCAGTGATTTAAAACATTTTCAGATCTTTAGAGAACATAAATGTTTGTATTCAGAGGCACCTCCAAAGGGGGTCCAGGGGTGGCAATAGCTCCTATATAAAATGAGCAGCCTGCCCACCCTGGATGCACAGAATAATACTCCTGAAGAATGAGGTTTTGCTTTGTGTCCATTTTTAATTTCCCATAACTGAATTTACTAGAACATCAAACATAAAAATATTTTTCAAATAGTAAATATATATTCATATTTTCAATTTTAGATTTAAAAAAGTTAGTTTTCCTGAATAAGCTGAACACAAGAAAATGAATTGTAACATAAGATTTAAAGTGATTCCTGAGCTTCTATACTGTAATTTTCCACATAAGCACACATTAAAACTTAAAAAATTTTAAAGCACATTAAAACTTCTCAAATGATTACAGCTTTTAGATTTGGTTGGCAACCTCAAGACCATCAGTGGCCCCCGTCAGGCCCTTTGACATGTGCCCCTGGCTGTACTTACTGCAGAGAAAACAACATTTGTGGAAACTCTTTCCGTCACACTGCACCTCCTCGGCGTGATAAACCGTCCCGCGGCACGCTGCACACTTGTTGCCTCCTCCCCAGTTTGGCATCATGAGTCGTTCTAAAAAACAAACAGAGTTTAGTTTTTGACACTTTTGCTTCGTTGACTCTTTGTCCTCTGAACTTTTTCAGTAAAGTACATTCACTCAACCTTTATTTATACAGGTTAATCTAATTCAGTCAAGGGGACTCATTTACAAGAGACCTGTTTAAAATAAGATACAGATGACATACACAAAAACAATAAAGAGCCATGAGATGCATTTAAAATAAAAAGTAAATAAAAGTAGTGATGTAAAACAAAATAAAAACAAACTACATTATGAAAAGCGGTAAAATACTAAAAACAAC